TCTATCTATCTATCTATCTATCTATCTATCTATCTATCTATCTATCTATCTATCTATCTCCCGTGTTCAAGCCCCAGCTCTCCCAATACTAAGAATGAAATCTTGTTTAACTTAGTTTAAAACCCCGGGCTCAACTTGATTAGCTCTTTTAATAAGCCTTACTCTGCTCATGTGTTGTGGTTTGTGCACTTGTGTGAAGGTGCACATGCTGGACACACTCATGCAGATCACAGAAGGACCATCTAGTTTTTCAAAGCTTAGGAGGTGGAAGTATCCTGGCTGTTGGAATTTCATACAAATGGAGTCCTGAGCTGGCATGCTCATTTCTGGAAAGCAGCCTTATGTCCTATGTCTTCTGTATCATCTCACCACCAAAGGCCTATCATTTGACTGCCCGGCAGGTACTGATGGCATCCACATGATTGTAGCAATGAACCCCCTACCCAGCTCCTAGCTCCCGCTCTCACTTTGCTACAATTCCTATGCCACAGCATACATACTTTGCACTAGGCTGTAAAATTGGGAATGAGACTGTGTTCCTTGCTTACTTGCCTCCTATTCCCCCAAATGTTACCCCGATCCCTAGAAAGAAAAGCTCCCCTGGGACTTCATTCTTTACTGCAGCCAAAGGAATCTCTTTCGGGGTTCTACAAGACAACAAACTCATTTTTTTTCCTTAGAGATTTTGTATAACTTTCTTTCATCCAGAAAGCCCTTTTCTGTTGGTAACACATTCTGAGCACTGGTCATCATTTGAATTTTGGCTTACAGGACATCACCCCAGAGTGCATATCCAGAATATCACCAAGGCTTTTTCTATTAAATATTTGTCGTATTTTTTTGTACCCAAACAGTTATTACTTATTATTATTATTTTTTTGCTTTTTTTGTGTTTAGCTTCTTTCCCTTCCCTCTTCTCCCTGTATATTTCTTTACATTATTTAGTATCTTTTTGGTGTCAATTATCATATAAGCACTTGAATTACAGTAGTAAAGAAAGCTGTGCCATCATGGATTGATAATTAACAAGTAAATATATGATGTATCAAATATCATAAAATCCTGTAAGTCAAATACCGGAATTCAAGAGGTAGAGAAGAATTGGGGACGGGAGACCTGCTTTAGATGTCATGATCAGGAAAGCTCTCTCTGATATGTACTATTGGAATACAATCACAAATGCATGGACTCTTGTTCCATTCATCACAGTTATTCCCAGCACGTTGATATATATGAAGAGTTGGATGTATTGCTCTGTTAGCCTGATAAATATTGCCTGTATCCCTTTGGTTTCCTAAACAGACCGTGAGTTTCATCAATGGGAAATGAGTCTTCTTTCCACTCTCCTCAGTATCTCGCACAGGAAAGTGGAAAATGAGGAACACGGTGAGCCAGGCTGCCACAGTATACACTCAGGCCATCTTGGAAACTACCGCCTGAGAAGTTGACATGTGCTTCTAAGAATCACGTGAATTCACTTTATGGACTAAAGTTTACATGTAACACCGGGTTAATAGTATCTGAATTTTTATTCATTCTTTGGTAAAACTAATTTCTCTCATGTCAAGTTTTGGCTCTCTTTCTGGATTGACTTATTCTTGATCGTCCAGGATATTTATTATATACTTTAATATTTTGGGAAGTCTAACAGAGCAACTAGCAGCTGGATCTTGCAGACCCCTAGGAAGGTGGATTTGGGCACTAAGCAAAAACAGACTAACTAAACTAACGCTAGCACTGGACATTTCAGCACATCTCTTTCTGAAATTGAATGAGCATTTCTGAACTATGACGACAAAGTGATGAAGACAAGTAATGACACCCAACATCAAAGGGGTCACAAAAAGTTCACAGCAAAGTGTTCCCCATGATGGCCCCATGACTCACGCATGCTCTAAGAAGATATATTTATTCTCCTTTCTCAACTAGAACTTGGCACACCAAATAGAAAGCCAAGTTACAGCCATATTTGTTAGTAGCTAGCAGAACAAATTGCAAACACCATAACGTCAAACATCGGAAACAGAGCCTCAGGTTTTTTTCTCAATTGCATGCAATTAATTGACAATGCAAGTATTTTCAAGGCTAGATCTAAGGAAGAAAATCTTCACGGTGGCAAAAACTGCATCAAGTGTGCATATATACATGCAGGCGAACACTGATACATATAAAAATATGTAAATAACAATGCACCTTGTCTGTCCACAGTCTCTGGTGCATTTCTATCAATACTACCATGTGTCAATCACTGTCCTGGGTGACTGACTCCAAGCCTTACTCTCTGTTGGCGAAGGTCCAGCTTTCGTATCCTTAGCACCTGCCTACCATGTTGAGTCTTCTAACAAGATTCCACTAATCCTTCTGCATCTTAAAGCTGCTGAAGCTAGACTCTCAACACCCACTAAGGTAGAGTTTGCCAAGTGCCTGTTCAGAAATTCTTATTGTTTCTCAAAGTACTAAGCCTCTCCATCTCCTCCTTTCCCCCTCCCTCCTTTCCTCTCTCTCTCTCTCTCTCTTTCTCTTGTTCTCTCTGTGTGTGATCAGAGGAGTATTCAGGAAGCATTGTACATGACATTGTCTTCTTTGAAAGTGAGAACACACAATGAGATGCTTACAAAAGTTAAGAAAAGTGAAAACCCCCAAATAATTTCCAGTTGGGGAATTGTAAAGCACATTCAGGAACAGTAATCAGCTGTTAAAAGGGTGATATGGATCTCTACACACCATTATAAACACATGAAATAAAAAGATAGTCAAAAGTTCTCGGCATAACTAGCATCCCATTAAAAACCCAAATCCTAAGCGTGTATGGCTTTAAATAACACAATAAAATACAGAAAAACTCTAAAAGGATGTATACCAAATCATTACAAGTGACGGTCTCTGGGGAGGGAGACTGGGGACAAGGGAAAGTTGCACTTTTTACTTTATAGATTTGGATATCATCTGAATTGCTTTATAGCCATTTTATTACCTTTATAATAATAAAAAATCAAGTTATATATTAAAAAAAAACAGACATAAAATACAGTGGTAAACACATCTGTTTAGCCTTAACAGAGCACTTTTCTGACTCGTGTGATCACCGAACCTCGATTTGAGGAGCACCCAGCTGTGGCTTGTGCAGGCAATAGTGGCGCGCCTGTGCTCTAGCCTTTCCCCTTGCCTTCACAGCATTTGGGTTTTGAGCTTCTGTGGTCCCTCATACCTGAGTGAAAGAGGTTCCAGTGACCTCGGAGGTTGCCTGGCAATTTGTCAGGACCCCACTGTACTCCAGCCACTGCAAAACTGCAGAGAACGCTTTGAAAATGAAGCGCTGTTCTTGGTACATCGGCAGCGCTAAAAACGCCATGGTGGTTATTTCTACTACCACTGGTAATTTTAGTTTCATGAATGGCTTTGGTCCAAGGAGCCCAGTCATAGGACATGCTGTCATCCCGACAATAACATACCCAAGCGGAGACCCCGTGGGACGTTAGGATACATGGTCACAGGTCAAATAGAGGGTAAAAACTTCTGAGAACAACAGCTGGGTTCAGCCCAGACAGAGGACAGGATTGCCTGCAGGGAGTCTCTGGGAGACTAAATAAATGTAGAGATGCTGCCCGTGTCCAAGCTTTTCCATGGCTCAGCTCATGAGGCAGAAAAAGCAGTAAGGCTGTGGCTTGGAATGGTGTCCTTCTACCCAACATTCAAAGCCATCCATCTCTGGGTGGTAGCGTTCTGTTCAGAGACATTAAATGTTTTGTTTTTTACTTCAACACTGTCTAGTAGAAACAGGTCTGAGAGCTAGGGGGCGATTGCTGGGCCCTCCTTCCCTTTTCCCAACCCTTCTCAGACCAGGGCTCTACGAGGCTCACCTGTCACTGAACTGCACCGCTTCTCCGTTCCTGGTCCAGTGGATGGTAGGCCTCGGGTTGCCTACCGCCTCGCAGTGCAGAAGCACACTCAGGGTCCCGCTGGCTAGCGCCACGGTCTGCCCCAGGTGGGTGACCACCTCGGAGGCCGAGAGCTGCTGTGCTGCCGAGATCTTCCGCAAGATGGTGGGCTTGCGGTGAGGCCTGCGGGAGCCGCCCCCGGCCTCCCCGGAAGAGCTCCTTAGGGAGCTGCTGAGGCTTGAAACACGTTTGTGGGGCGGGATGGCCACGGGAGGGAACCTCTGCTCAGAGGGCTTGTGAAGCATGTCCTGGCTCTCCAGGTGGCTGCGGAAAATGTCCTGGGCCAGCTGTGCCACCAGGTGCTTGCTGTAGAGGTCCCGTAGCTCCTCAGGCTGCTGGGACAGGTTCCTGAGAATGTCATCCAGGCGCTTCTGTTCCGCCACCATGGTGAAGGGGAGGTGCAGGAGGGCCTGTTCAGCATGGGGATCCTCCTCCGAGGAGGCGTTCCTTTCGGCAGAGTCCTGCACCTCCCAGGAGGCCAGGAGCTCTCCTGGCCAGCCGCCCTGCTCCAGCAGCCTAGACACAATGTCATCATAGCGGTTCCCAGGGTCTGCAGTGAGGCCGCGCTTCTCGGCCTTGCTGCCGTTGGAGAAGATGCCATTTTGGTGTTTGTGGGTTTGCAAGGCCTCCTTTGGATTGGCCTTCCTCACCTGCAGGGCCTCCTCCTCCTCACTCCAAAGGCTCAGCGGCCTGGCCACCAGCTTGCGGTGGCCTCCGATGAGCTTAATCACAAACTGCTCCCTGGCGGGCCCTGCAGAACAGGTGTAGATGCCTGCATCTGAGGGCTTGAGGCGGTGGATCTTCAGGTAGCCGAAAGGGGCCACGGTGACATGAGCCGAGCTAATGCTGTGCTGGCCGTCCTTCTCCCAGGTGATGAGGGGCTTGCGGAATCTGCGAGTGGGGCACCGGAGCACCACGGTAGTCTTGGGAAGTAGGTAAGCGAATCCTCCCACCACGAAATGCAGCTTCCTCTGCCTGCGGGTCTGGATGTATATATTCCGTGCAGCTGCGATGTGAGGGCCGTGCTTGGTGGAAGGCCTTCCAGGCCCTGGTTTGAGAGGGATGCAGGACCGAAGGAGAAAGAACCAAGAGCAGGGAAAAGCCAGAGTCAGACAGGGCCACTAGAGAGGTTAGGGGGCAAAAAGCACCAAGGGGCAAGAACTCTTCTGTTAATTTTGGCCAGGACTGTCATTTACCACTGCCTGTGGACCCGGAAGGAGCTAGCTACCACTGTGGATCACTGGGCTATCCCACCTTCAAAACCTAGAGCACTAATGAGGTCTGTGGTATGGGGCAGCCCCACAGGAACTGAAGAGGTGGAGGTGCTTAGAGCCCAGAAGGAAGGCAGTTCTCACTTAAAGCATTTAAAAAAGCATGTAAAGAGAGGCGGGCAGAGGACAAAGAGAAGTGCATTTCCCTGTTAACTGTCTACCCTTCTAGGCTATGCAAAGAACGAGGTCCGTAATGTGAGGGGAGCTCAGAAGTGTTATACCTCTAGGGATTAATGTTACGCAGAGCAAGTGTGTTTAGAGCAGTTTTAAACCCCAGGTTGGATAACATTAGACCTCATTAGGAATAAGCAGCCTTCGGTTTCCAGACCTCAGGATGCCAGAGGGGTGACCTTTGCTCTACCCTTGCAAGCTGTTGTTCCAGGGGAGAGGAGAACTCCACCTGGACACTGAGTGATTAAGAGTCCCTTTTCATCTCCATCTAGGCACTCCAGCCGCAGCTGTCCTTAGGCTCTGCTGTCCCACGATGCCCGCTGCTCTGGGGCTCAGGGGAGATCCTTGCCTAATGGCTATGGCTGCTGTTACGTATGGGCTTCCATATCCCACTCCCAGAACCCCAACGTACTCACTTGCACAGGTTGCCGGCATACAAGGTCTGATGGAGGAAGAGAAAGGCAGGGGAGGGCACAGGGTAGAATTGACAACCGTGGAGACCCCGGTTTTCAGCACCCTCTGGCAAATGGCACTTCGAGTCTGGGTGCCCTCCCCACAGCTCACAGAGCACTGGTGGAGGAAGAAAGGATAAACGTATGAAAGTCCCATTAACTGGAGCAGCAGGTCCCTCCCCGTGTGTCACATGTCACAACCCCTTTGCAGGGTGAATGACCCTCTCAAAGGGGGGGGGGGGGCATGTCAGCAGCCCTGCACATCAGATATTTACATCATGTTTCATAACAGCAGCAAAATTACAGTTATGAAGTGGCAACAAATATTTTTATGGTTTGGGGTCACCACAAGATGAGGAACTGTACTAACGGGTCACAGCATGAGGAAGGCTGAGAACCAGTGGACTAGAGTCTCACGGTTGTTTTGTGTGGTCCCATAAATTCACTATGATATGCCCAAAAAAGCATCAGCCACCGAAAGAGAAATATTTACAATAATGTAGAATATCTGCCTTGCCATGAACTCAGCGGCTGGCTCTTTGATCACCTTCACCTGAGCGGGGATTGGGGGATCAGCCTTACCAGGCCACAGAGAAAAACTATGAAATAAAGTCCTGATGAGACCTGATAGGCTAGGGTCAGATGGAAGGGGAGGAGGTCCTCCACTATCAGTGGACTGGGGAAAGGGCATGGGAGGAGATGAGGGAGTGAGGGCGGGACTGGGAGGGGACAAGGGTAGGGGTTACAGCTGGGATACAAAGTGAATTAATTGTAATAAATAAAAAAATATATTAAAAAAAGAATATGTGTCTTGCAGCCATACTCTGCCCTCCAAACACTCTGCATTACTCTGAATTGTAAGGGTTCCTATGAGCATTTAACCCATTCTTAGATACATGTGGCTTTAGGTTTTATACAGTCATATAAACACAGAGTCCTATGTTCAAGTCTTAGCTCAGTTTTCCAATAGTTGGACAGCCACTGACGCTCTCGGCACTGTTTGTATTTTTATGCTTATTTTACAAGTCTGTGAGTTAAATAAGAGACTACAAGAAAAGACACCCAAACCCAATAAATGATATGCTTCCCGTTGGATAAGTGCTGCCAATCTACTTTGTTCCGGGTGAAATGTCTAGGCTCTAGAAATGGTCTTTCAAACAAGGAGACAAAAAGTCAACTGCACCACTAAAAAGGAAGTAAATTAAAGTAAAAGGAAGTAAAGTAAAGGGAAAAGTCAATCGAAATGACAATGAGGTATCATATCACTTCACAAATACTGGAATGACCATATTAGAAAGAATAACAATAGTAAGTATTGGTGAGGCTGGAGAAAAAAAATGAAAACCCTACTACCCCTACCCCCAACCCCCAACCCTATACATTGTTGGTGGGAATATAAAATGATATGCTCCCTGCCATCCACTTCCAGGCAAATGGGTTTATTAGTTTTGATAAAAAGAAAGTTTACTCTAGGGCCCAGGAATTCTACTCATAGGTGTCTACCTCAGAGAAATGAAAGCTCATATCCATACAAAGACTTACATGAAGATAGTCACAGCTGCACTGCTATTGTTTAACAACATTCAACTACTTTTAATAACCAAGAAGTAGAAACAACTCAATGCCCATTAAATTGTTGAATGAATAAAGGAAGTATATTAACGGAATATTATCCATCCACATAAACAAACATAGTACTTATCTGTGCTACAACATAGACAAACCTCTAGACTATTAAGCTAAATTGAATTTTGTGATAGGTCAATTCTATGTCAGTAAGGTTGTCGAAAGAAGACACAGTAGTTAAGGAATTTAGTAGAAGTGTACCAGTAAGAAGGCAGGTTTTTAGATACTATAAAACGTATGGGTTTTCCTGACCTCTGCTCTGACGATGGGGAGGGTCTGGGTGGGGTAAGGATGCCAAGCAGAGAAAGTCCTAAAACAAAGTAAAAGAAACCAGTGCACAAGACCAGTGTGGGCTTGGGACAAACCCAAGCCAGTTTTACCGACTAGTGGCGGAGGTGAGTGCAGGAAGGAATGTGAGGAGGACTTTGGAGACCTTTCGTTTTCAGACAGGTTTGGAATTGGTCCACAGAACACTGGGAATCCATGAAGGGGGAGTGACATGACGAAAGAGGTGTTTGAGGAAGTGAATCTGGCAACCCTGTGCCGAGGGGAGGGAAGGGAGGCAGGACAGAATGGAGGGCCTCGACAGCCCCTGCCTGAGAGGGTGAAGGCCTGAACCTGGGTCATGGCAGCATGCCACTGGAAAAATGACAATAAAAACAACAGAAAACTATCCCACACTTTGAAGGTTTATATGTGAGGATGTTGAAGTGACACTGATCCGTGGGACAGGTGACTGTGACATCTGCCACCCCAAGAGAAATTCAAGATGCCGAGGACCAGTGCAGGCTGAGAGCAAACCCCTGCTTGTGTTGCCTGATGATCACGGATGCCAGATTCTATCTGACACCTGCTTGAACTTAAATTAAATGACAGTAACAGATCCAAGGATCAGGAGGCATGAGGCAAGGAGCCTGATAGCTTAACATGGCCATTGTAGTTTGGTCAAGTAGAAAAACAGACCAAGAGCCAGACTGCAGGCCGAGGTCAGCTGCGACTGTGGTAGTGTCATCTCTAGCACCCAGCCCCACACCTCTGAAGCAGGGAAGCCAAGCTGAAGCCAAGTCCCTGGTTACCATGGTGAGGAGGTGATGCAGGGGCTGCTTCTCAGGGATGGGGACACCCACCACTGGAGGCCTGTCATCCCACTCCTATTTCAACCACACAGTTCTCATTTTGTTTTAGAATTAAAAATAGTGTGTGCATGCGCGCTTGATTTGTTTACTGCATGTGAGGAAGCCAGAAGATGATATACACTGTTCTATTTTGTCACACCCCATGACTTCCTTCTCTCCCTCACTGAACTTAGAAGCTAGGCTGGTAGCCAAGAAGCCCAGAGCTGCTCTTGTGATTGGGAGGTTAGATCTCACCATTCCCGGCCTCTCCTCAATGCCTGCAATTCCATTCACCAGCCCAGATAGCTCAGAGATTTAGATAAGGGCTAACTCCTCCTAGTTTCCCACATGTGGCCTTTTCCCCCCTGGGGAAAGCAGCCAAGCCTGAGAGGGAACTGGACTACAGCCCTGAGCCCAGCCACTGAAGGCAATGGAGTGCTTACCTAGTTTCTTCTTTCTCCTGAAAGTGATCCCAGAAGATAGAGACCCACCATCATAACAAGAGTTGAGTTTAACTAGACATAAGTACTTCTCATTTAATCAAAGCTCTGCCTACATGATGGACGTTGTTATGTCCATTTCAAAGACAATCAAACTAAGGGTTAGAAAGATTAAGCAATGAGCCTCATGTTATGCAGTCACTAGGAGACAGGGTCAGAGTTTGGGGCCAGGTTTGCTTGTCTGTGTTTCTGAACTCTTAACTCTACTAGATCCTATTCTAAAGATCTGCTTTACTTACTGCTGTCCAGCTCAGTGGATCCTTTCTTTGGTGCTTAAACCACAAAGGGCTTTCTAGAAAATCACTTTTCATGAATGTTCTGTGTTCTGCATCCTCCAAAGGCCACAGATGTCAGGAGGATGGAGGGGGTGGCAGTTCTTATACATATATATTCCCTTCTCCACTGTCCATCCATGACAGCCCATCACCCAAAAGACACTTTACCAGGAGGTTGTCTTGACTACGGCCACTTGGCACACACACCAGGGCTCTTTTCTGTGCTGGCATTTTTTAGTATGTTTTAAAAATATATAACATCACCCAAATCAACAGTCTCCTAGGAAAACCAGCAACAACATGTCTGTGCACACACATTTATACATGCACGTTTTTTCCCCTCTACTCTCCCATTCTTGTTTCCTGCTGAAATACAAATGGTTTCTAAAAAACAAAAATAACCATTTTCCTTTCTGTTCTGAATAATCTGGGGTGAGGCACAGCTAGAGGTAATTTTGCTGATAAATTATGATGGGAATATTGGCTCCTTCACAACCCCAATGCCCTCAGCAGGCACCATCAGATGAACTCCAAACAAGCTGAAAATGTACAAGGTAAGAATTCCATGCTGAGAGGCTGGGCATCTGGACTTTTCTGTCTGGAAGTTAAGTGTTTGTGAGACACACTTTTCAACCATCAGCAGCTCCAGTAGATTATAGACTAAAACGACCATGGGTTCCGAAAGCCAATCTGGATGCTTCTAGGCAAGAAAGAGAAAGGTTTTGCATATGATTTGGATGCAGCAATCTGTTTGCCAGTTGCTGAGTTTGCTTGTTCAGCAATGACTTTTAGACTTCTCTTGTGGAAGACAAACAGGTCTTTGGACCTGGGTAGTTAAGGGTGACTCAAAGAAATTCTAGAGGCTGAAAAAGGATGAGCTGAATCTTTGAATCCAGTTGCAAATGAATTCGTGCCGTGTCAGAACAAGAATTACTTGGAGAAGCAGGTTAGGTGGAGGTGTTCGTTTGGTACCCTAACACCATCTGGAGCTGTGAGCACTGAGCCTTCACGTCCCTAAGTGCACAGCAATGGGGGAAATCAAGTGCTCTTGCTGGGAAGTTGTTCAAGTTTTAGAGTCAGGAAACTTACAGTAAAGAGGCAGGATTTCCTTGGCCTTCTTTTCCTAATAAATCACATCCTTTATTGTCCAGAAACTTGGAAGAGAAGGACCAGGGAGGCCTTGCCCTTCCTGAGCAGAGACTGGAAACATCTGGGAGTAGGACATGGGAGTGGGAGTGTCAGGAGGAGGAGGGGGCTAGCTGGAGAAAGAGGTGAAGAACCTTGTGTTCCGGGTTTGTTCGAGGGGGAACCTCATTTATAATTGCAGGTTTCTGATTTTCAGTTGTTAAGGAAGGGCTGGCTACACAGCCTTGGTCTCCGTAGTGAAACAGGTCCCCATAGCCTAGTTGTTACGCATCCTATATGTTACAGGCCAATGGCATTACAAAGTGCTATTCACACCGTCTGGAGAGCTTTTTGGTCTCTTTTCAATGCATGTGTTTGGGGTGACTTCTCTTCCCTTCCATGCTTTGTGTTCTCTTTCCCTGAGGAGCATACCTACCTCTGACCAGTCTGAGAGAAGCCACTCACTGGGACAGTCGTCTTTCTTGCATGCTTGCTGGGAGGTTGGTTTGGAGGCTGAACAAAAGGTCTCCGGAAGCTCCAGGAAGCTGCCATCAGCCATTCGTTGTTTGCAAAGAACATCCCGTTTCTGAACCCCTCCTCCACAGGTCCTGGAACACTGGGGAAGCAAAAAGGGTCAAGGGTCAGCACAGGCAAGGATCCTGACCACTACCTTATTCTTGTTTGAGTGAATAGTAAGTTTTTTTTTTTTTTTTTTTTTTTGTTGGTTTGATTGTTTTTTTTTTAAAAATACAACTAGGAGTCCAGCCAAAGGGCTTCGTTTCTTGTCTTTGCAGTGAATTTTGTAACCCTCCGCTCATAATCTCAGGTATTTAACTTGAGCATCCAGGAATTCAGGAGCCCTGGAATCTTAGAAATTTGCCTCTGAACTGTGATTTGTAGCTACTCAAGAAAACTGGTTTAAAAGTTTAGTATAATAAAGTGTTCAACATATTTATGATCCAATGAAAATAATCTGTGCAGCTTCCAGAATGAGCAAGAGCGACCTCCTGCCATCAGAATCGACCCAAAAAAATTAATTTGCAGAGTAAAAAAAAAAAAGACTGTCTTCTCCCTCAGTGTGGGAGCACTCACTCAACCACACTGGGCAATGTGAGATTTAGGGGCTGGCTTTCTGAAGAACTCATCTGGACTGGTGATTTCTAAGGGCACTGGGAGCTGGAGGCGCTGAAATCTGGTATGCAAGAAAAATAGCCTCATGTCAGTGGTTTTCAGGGGGACCGCAGTAAAACACTTTGTTTACATGGAACTTAATAGTTATAATCTGGCTGCTTGCGGCAGGAACGAGGCCTCCCGGGGCACAGACTATTGGCTTTTTCCAAGTATTTGTCCCTTCCCTTTTAAGGGCCCTCAGTTTTTAGCATGGTACATGTTTTTTTTTTTTTTTTCTTCTGTATAGGCTATATTTGGCAAACTCCTCTGAAAGCAGACACAGCCACTGGACTGAATGATGGCCAATGGGGTAGATACAGACGGATGTATGCAATTACAAAGGCCTCATCTAAAGGGAGACCAACACCCACCCCCCTGCCCGCAGGGATGGGGATGGTGCGCACGCGGTCTGCAAAAAAGACAGAAGAGGTTTTCTTGTTAACTGCGAAACTCTGCTTGCCCCTGCCTATGCACGATACCTTTCTACTCACTGAAGCCACTGTAGTTTTGAGATTTCTATTACTCCAGTCCAGCTCATATATACCAAACCATGACTTAGCTAGGTTAGGGCAGGTCATCCCAGACATGTCAGGGAACTTTCTGGTTTCTTAGGAACAATTTCTAGTGTTTTTTTTTTTTTTTTTTTTTGTTCTTGGGTTTGTGGAGACATTAAGTCTAGGTCTGAAAGATGGGAGTTCGCATTGAAGGAATGGCTTCAACAGCCTAGATGTCACCCTCCTTGGAGGAGGTCTTATTAGGTAGCCAGTAAGATATTATGGCTGAAACACTGCCCCGCTCTCCCCTCAATCAACTGCTCATATAAGCAGGGACAGGAATGGTAGGACTCTAGTTTTTAGTCAGAGGACTGGGACCCAAGTCCTGTCAGGAAAGCCATTTGGACAACTCCCTAAACCTGGTTCCAGTGGCCCCACGCCTTATAAGATCATTATCCTGTGAAAGATAAAAAAAAATAAAAAGACTTTATACTATTGCCCTGTCTTATAAGAATCAAGTCAAGGGATTGGAGAGATGGCTCAGGTGTTAAGAACACTGGTGGCTCTTACAGAGGAGCTGGAGCCTACATGGCGGCTCACAGCCATTTGTAAATCCAGCCTTACGGTATCTGACATTCTCTTTTGGGCTCCTGAGGCATTGCATGAAGGTGGTGCACAGACTACCCATGCAGGCAGACTACCCATATACTAATAACAATAATACTAATAAATAATAATAATAATAATAATAATAATAATAATGAATGGAGTCAGTCCATAGGTTTGTCAATCTTTAGACAGTAAAATAAACTTCAGGAAATCTGTCAATTCTAGAAGTGTAAAAAAAAGTATTTTATTAATTTATTAATGTATGCATTACCTGTGTGTTATGCACACACACACACACACACACACACACACACACACACACACAGTGGTGTGCAGGTATGCATATCATGGTACACAGGTAGAGATCAGAAGGAAAGTGTGTAGAATTAGTTCTCTCCTTCTGCCCTTAAGCAGCTCCTTGGAACCAAACTCAGGTCAGCAAGTGCTTTTACAAAATTTGCCTAAAAACATAAGTTGATACAGTGGTTTCTGGCCATTGTCACCCTGACCTGGTGAGAGTATTTTTCTTTGCAGGAGTTATTTTGGCCACTGCCCCCTCGTAAGAGCCAAAGTCAACCTGTAAACCCCACCTGCCCACACACAAGGTAACTTTCTGGATTGCTAGGAGCTGTAGTTCTTGAAAAATAATAAAGCCACATGGGAAATCATGGTTTGGCCCTTAAAAAGCCCCTACAACACTTGACTCTTTACCACTTGCTGGGATTCTAGAGAGTGAGTGGACCTGACCAGAGTCCATACCTCAGTATTTAATTAAACCTTGTTTCAAATTTGGCTAAAAATTGTGCAACTGTTTTTTCTCTCTCATGAATCTGAAGATTAACATTTAGAGACCCAGTAAGATGAGAAAAAAAAAAAAAGACATTCCAACTCGAATTCTGGAGCTAGACTTTTCACCACAGGACTGGTATGCTGCTGCCTCAGGGTGCGCACTGTGGGGTATTAATTCAAAGCTCTGGGGCACGCCTCCAGGCTGTCAGATACCCCTGCCCTTTGCAGTGAATGGCCATGCTTGATAAAGGAGATAGCAAGCATTTTTATGGAAGCATCCTTTTGGTAAGTCATAAAAGGTTTTTTTTTTTTTAATAATATATATTTTTAAAGCTTCCTGTATTATTTTTCTGCCTGGCTTTTGGGTTCTGGTTACAGAGTATCCCGATCTGGCAACAGAGAGGATTTGATGAGGTCTATGCAACATGGTCCTATGTGGTTCTGCGTCTCCGGAAACAGCTCCTGGATGCCGCCACTGGGGTATGGAGACAGAAGATCTCACCATCAGTCTCGGTGGAAAAGGATGAAGTGCTGGGTCCCAAGTGAGCTGGGGTGGGTGGGAATGACATAAAATCTGTGTCACAAGATCTCTGGTCCAGCTACGGTTTGGGAAAAGGAGATTTTTCTCCAGTAAGTGTTACTATTCTTTTTGCTGGGCTGCGAGCACCAGGCCAGGTGGCAGTGGGGAGCTCAGGACTCCAAGGGTCAGGTGGTGAGTTGTGTGGCTGCTCTGGGAACAGCTAGATCGGCACTGGGGCAGGCAGAGAACACAGAAGCTCATGGCTGCTCGGTGGCTGGGCCAGCTCTTGGCCAAGATGGTTTTGCAGCCTGGCAGTTGAGTCAGGGGTTCTCTTCGCCGTGTGAGGTTTTAAAACTCAAGTTTGAGATTACCCAGGGTTGAACCTGCTCCATCTCGATAGTCCCATGCCAATATCCCTGGAGGCACAGTCCATGAGCCCCACACCGCCACACCCATTCAGGACAAAGGGAAACATCACAAGGCTCACTGGCTGTTTCCTGGTAATTGAAGTTCCCTACCAGTTTTTCTCTTCTGACCTGCCTCAGAACACTTAGCACTCCCTGGTCAGACCAGAAGCTAAAGTAGTATTCCAGGCCTGGCACCTTGGCGCCTGTCAACAGGATTCTAACATCTAGGCTGCACAACAGAGCTGAGGAAACATAGGGGCATCCCATGACACTGGGGGTCAAGCTGAGTGTTTAGAGAGGTGTGGCATGTACCCAGGAGCCAAGGAGAACTCAGAGAGGACTGGCTACTGATGGGTTCCTAGCATCTGGGTTTTGGGAGGGCTATAGAGCAGCCTTGTATTTGTGAAGAGAGTTTCTCTTGGTCAGACCAGTGGACCTCTAAATGACTCCAATTGTTGATATAATCTTGTGGGGTTTTGTTGCTGTTGTTGTTATCATTTTGGCTTTGTGTCCTTGTCTTCTATCTGTACCTGTCTTTCAGACTCAAGGTGACTGACTGGATGGATGATAAAACTGATAAGCTAGATCACTGCTCCAAAGGTCACTCCAGAAATGGCCGGTGCTTTGGGGACATGGAGTTTGATAGCGTTATGTTGCAGAGTGCAATGCCACGGGCCAGGGTTGGGGCTCAATGGGCAGCTGTGAAGAGAATCCCCTGTGCTTAAGCTTGTAGGTGGGTCCCACTGCTGCTGCCCTTCTTCAGCACTGCAGCTGCAGCACCCATGTGAACGTGGGCTACAGCTGCAGCTCAAGCACCATGCCTTGTAACCATTTACTCCAGCAGCTACCAGCGTGGCTCTCTCTTGCAGCTAGCACTGGAGGAGGTAGAAACAATTTCTCTGTCTCTTTTGTGTGTATGGATGGGTCTGCGACTTCTGATGTGCCTCTAAGTTTTGTGGCAAACAGGAAGCTGAGGTAGAATTGCATCGGGCTCAGTTGAATGTACGGTGGCCACGGTGTATCTCCGACTGGTTTTGAATGTGCCGCCAGCTCCTAGGGCTCAGAATTTATCTCTGAGCTTTCTGACCACAGGAACTAATGTAAGAGGAATCCAAATCCATTATCCAATATGGATAATATTAAAGTTAGCTTATGTTGTTCTACTTTAGTGAAAAGCTGGCTCTAGAATGGGGTTATGGCTCACCCTTTTCCAGAACCAAGCATGTTTTTAAAGTCTCTATGTCTGGAGTCAAGAGCTATGAAAGAACGGCAAAGCAGAACAGCTACAGGAATTGTTGGTTTCATTTACTTGCTTAAAACTATTATATGAACTTCCTATGTTTAAAAAAAATCTGAAAGACCTGTAACAAATGTTAATTTAAAACTTACAAAATGGGTTGATAATTAGAAATCTACGCATAGATAATATTAAAGTAATGATATGACATGATTTAATTTTGGGATATAAGCAATACGTGGCTTGCTGCCATCTTTAGGCAGCCACTTGGCTGTTAGCCGTCTTTGCTAGGGTTGGAGAGGAAAGACGGCTTCACTACCATCTTGATTATGGGCAACTATGTGGTATGGGCTGACCAAGGAGACAACAGGTCTCTGAGATAGTCTGGACAAGAATAGATTTTTTTTTGTGTGTGTGATAATTCCAGTCCCATCCTGAAAACAAGGTTTATAAAAGGTAGGATTTAAAAACAATGCTTGTTTAATAAGGTATTAAAGATGTTCCTCCATGTGTTAATATATAAGAGTGTACCTTACTGGTAGCCAAATTTTGTAACATAAGAGTAATCCAGATAGTATTGGCTTTAAAGACATAGAGTCATGGAGCCTCCTAGACTCTAGAAGGCAGGCTATACATACTGCCAAGGGTGAGACCAGAGAATGACCCAAGCTCCCTAGAAAAGCCAACACTGTTGGAGCTTGGCTTTGCCTTGTGTAGATTATGCTGTAGCCTGTATCTTCACTCTTAAAGTAAACAGGTACTTTATTTTTGATGTTGTAGGAACACATGATTGAGAAATTTTAAACTTAAAGAGGTAATTTTGGAGTTTTACCAAAAATTTAAATGAAAACAACAACAATAAACCCTGCATATTCAGGAACAACTTTGAAAAATATGTAAGCTTAAAAGGCTATGTGACATTTCAAATTTATAGAATATTTATTATGATGTCTTAATAACTATGTGACATTGATAAGTACATAAGTGAGAGGCTAAAAATTAGGGCCACGGCTATGAGTGCCAAACATTAAGCATCAAGTCTGAGTCATGCAGCAAGACAATGACCTAAGCAGTCTAGCAGAAGGGTCTCTCCTTACCTAAGATCTACTCAGACTAACAGAGTCTGATTTAAGGATGTATGTCTAACCACCTTGTTCTTGCTAACATTGTTAAGCTGTGGTTATTTTGCTAAACTGAGTCCTACAAGACACTGTTACGTTCCATAATGGCACAAGATATAAGGACAAGGAAAGTAAAGTTGCCAGTCTTCCTGCAGACTGTTCATAAGAAGAGCTTCAATTTAGAAATTGTTATTTTTGTTATAAACTGGCCAATATGATTAAGCTTTAATATGTTCAGAACTATACTTGTATCCACGCCAAGTACTAATGAAATTAACTATAGAAAAAGCTTTATTTAGCCTCCTGTATATGTTTTCAATGTGTAACCTAAAGCAAGTAACAAAAACAAAAACAAAAGTCCCCTTCCCCCCCCCAAAAAAAAACAAGGAAAGGTTGTTCAGCTTATATATACTTAATAGATAATGGTCTTTAAACAGGATCTTCTGAATATGGAATATGGAATTTAAGATGTTTAAGCTTACTATGACAGAGACCCCAGCTCCTAGCAGTGACCTCCTGCTTAAGATCTCTGAGAAGTTGATGGGGTGCTATGTTGGCTCCACTTCGATTTCATTAAAGCTAACCACTGGGAAAAACTCCCTCAATGAATCACCTGCTGCCAGGACTCAGCTCACACTGTAGATAATCAGGGCACTGGAGAGCTGGTTGCCCTGCTTTGCTTAGACAAAGTAAGGCCAGTTCTTCCCATGTTCCTCCTCCACAGGAAAGCCTCTCAAGCTGGGCGACCGAAGACTGATGCTACCTTGGTATCTCTGCCTCCAAAACAAAGCCATAGAGTCCACAAGAGCCTGGATGGCCACTTAGGTAATGGACTCATCTGTCAGTGTAGTTGATACATAGGCCATTTGGATTGTAATTCCTGCTGTAATTCATCCTTCTCAGATTTCTGATTGCGTTTATGACCACACTAACTGTAGCTTTGTCAGCAGCAGAAAATCAGCTTCTACCTCCAAGACTTCAGCCACCTTATCACTTTATCTAAAGTTACTAGGTCTCTTGTTAAGGAAAGGCAGGCAGGTTTGCCTTGCTAACAGGATTCATATGAAAGGACAAACGGGTTTCAGGCAGAACTTTGCACTAAGTGAACGTACCTTGAAATGACTGTTCTCAATAACTTCTCATGTTTTTGACAAATAATTAGATGGAAATGAAATGTTCTAAGGTATATAAAGGTCTGAAGGTATGAAAGCTTAATGAAGTTCTGATGCTATAAGAAAATGTTTTAAGGCCTGTGAAAATGGAAAATGTTTTAGATTCCTCATTCCTTTTATGTTACCATTATACTATGATTTCAAAAACTTGGAGTTTTAACATTGATCAGTGGAGTTCTGATAAGCTTGCAGAACACTGACTACTTACTATTCAGTCACAAGTTCAAGATTTAAAAATGTTTTGATTGTCTAAATATAGACTTAAAGATGCTCCCCATTCTAGCTCTCTGGACAGAGGCAAAAATGCTCATGCTTCCTAACCCAAGCAATAGTTTTTGCTAAGATTCGAAGGTGTGAGTCTACTCTAGCTACTTTACAATGTGGAGTTCTGTACAGGTTAATATATCTAGAACTTTTATCTCTTTTTATAAGCTAAAAATTCATGTAAGCTTCAGGGAGTCAAAGAATTCATAAACTTGCATCTACCTGCCACAAGCCAAATGGATTCCAGATAAATACAGCTTGTCTTCCCACCTGCCTATCCTGAGAATAGAGTCTCTTTCCTAGTCTTGAGACCCCTACCCTTTCCCAAGTACTAAGATTAAGGGTCTGAAAGTTCCAAACATAAGATTTTCTTTCAAGTTTCTAAACTGTAACTTGTGTCTTTAGCCTATATTTGTCTCAGAAGGTTTCCGCTTGGCTGACAGACACCATCCAGGGATCACCTGTGGATTGCAAACTGCTGTGCTCTGGATTTGCTGAAAGCTGATGTAAACCAGCCCATCATACATGACTGCTCCCTGCCTCTTCATCTGGGTCAGCTAACCAGATAAATACCCAGTTGCCCAGCCTTTGACCAGCTTTTCAGCCTTCCTGGCCCCTGACAATGATGCTGCAGTTTCAGCTGGAAATGCTTACAAAGAGAACGTGTGGTCCCTTGCTGACATGCAAAGTCAAAAGGAAACTCCTTGGCATAGGGAACAAAATGGCTACCTGTAATGCCGATTGGCATGCCTGGAAAGGGGGCCTAGATTTATCAACAGGTAGGTTCATTAACTGAAATAGTTCCACAATATGATAGGGCACTCGGCCTGCTTTATTCAGAGAAAAGAGATGTTACATGGCTTTAAGAATACATTACTATTTTTATATAAACCATTCAGGATTATAGTCTGGCTGTATTCAAAGACATATTACAAAAATGGGACCTGAGGTGAAATAAATGACTGGTGTCCTGTTCATTTCCAGGCTCCTTCTAGTTAGTAACTCTAAATCACAAGGCATTTGGCCCTTCTGCGCTTGCTAATTACTGTTGGCTCTTGCATCAGCTAAGTGATAATTTCTGTCTGGGTACTCTGAAGCTGATATTAGATCCCAAAATAAACGAGTACCCATCACAGAGTCAAGGATTTTTATCCATGTTACAACTCAAGGGGTGGCATGTAGGAGTCAAGGTCCCCACCTGTAAGCCTCACCAGCCCAAGGACAAGGTAGCATCCTGGAACACTGGGAATTGTAGTTCTTGAATAACAACAAAACCACATGGGAAATAAGGCGGTGGCATGGTTTTGCCCTTAAAAAGCCCCTACAGCATGTGACTCGATGCCATTTACTGGGATTCCAGAGAGTGGACCTGACCAGAGCCCATCCTGGTCAGTATTTAATTAAAGCTTGCTTCAAATTTGGCTCAGAATTGTAGCACTGGTTTTTCTCTTGCAAATCTCAGGACTAACATACTCTTACCCTAAGAGTACTTTATACTGCTGTATAATAAACTTCACCTATTTTTTTCTACTTGTTGCTTCAAGCCTCTCTTCCTACTTCTTTCAATATAGACGACAAGGACTCCTCAGTCCTTGTGGAGGGGAGTCCAGAGCAAGATCCCAGGACAGGTCTCAACCTGAGCTTTAAAAGAGTGCTAATGCCCAAGCCGAATTTTAGACGATCATCAGAAATTCTGGTATGTTCATTCTAGCTTCGAGCACCTTCTCTTCTTTTTACACATGACTTCCTAGGCCCTTCTCTGTTAGATACTCCTAATGTGGCAGAGCCAAGAGAATCTCTTCAAATTAATGTGCTGCCACCATTTCAAATCAGAACAACACAAATACAGAAGGAAAAGCTGAGGCCCAGGGAGGCCTCTTGGCTCCTGTGTAGTTTGATTGCACTGTGAATGGTTTGAGGCCATGAAGCTATTGGGAAGTATTAGAAGGGCTATAGACTTTTTTCTAGAAGGACTTTAAACATAGAGTCTTCCAAATGGTTGGGAACAATAATGAACAACATTTTAATTTACATTGAAATATTTAAAAATTAAAAATAAAATAATTACATTGGGTTCCATAATAAAGAAAATAAAAATTATAGCTGGAATAATAAACAACCTTTAGTAACTACACTATCAAGTAAATCTTATTCCTTTGCAACAGATAAAGAAATTAAGGCCTGGGGAGATGAAGTTACACAATTAAGGCCACACAGTGCTGGAGCTGGTTCATTTCCAGTCATTGCTGGAACTTCAACAAGTCCATACCAGCTCAACAAGTTCATATTGACTAGTGGGCTCTGGACACAGCTTCAGAACAGGCCTAAGCTTAGCCTACCTCCCCATGATGGCAGCAACTCCTCTTTGCTTGCAGAACTGAGGGAAGTGACTTGCACCTCTCCTTAAGGCCAAGGGTGCAGGCTTCTGATGTCTTCAATGGAGGGTTGCTTTGGAAGGCAATTCTTAGTTCTACCCTGTGATTATCCTTGTTGAGTAGGATTCAGCCCAGGATCTGCGTTTGGGAACCAGCATCCTGAAATACTTTATTTATATGTTGATGACCCTGGAAACTTGTTCTGCCTAAGCTTTTTCTATTTGTGAGCTGACATATACATGAACGTAGGTCCTATATAATGAACTGCCAGACCTTATGTGGTGGTCTTCTGAACACTTGATAATGGTCATAGAACCAAACAACTCCTTCTAAAGGATTTCTGGAGTCTTTTGACTTTGACTAATATGTGGTCTCCAACTTGTGGAGTGTATTTTCCCCATAATGCCTTGCACCTGCTGGAGAAGTACTCTCCCACTGATCTGCAGTGCTCACCTAGAGCTATGGCTTCTTTGGGGGCTCTGGGTGTTTTTGTGGAATTTTTAGACGAAAGGGAAACATTTTACTTCTTGGATATAATTCAATAAACCACTAGAGGACTTCTCTCTCACTCATGGCATACCTGCACTGTGCCCAGTAGTGCCTTCTGTGAATGCAAGGCCTCAACAAATGACTGTAGCACTAAAGTTGGTTCTCAGTACAAATTTGAATTAGTGGCTAAGAATTCCACTTACTCAGAATGTGCTTGTTATTATGGACAACTAAAGTTTCACCTTTACTTGTACAGTCCATCATATAATTTCTTAGATTTAACTTTTTATTCCTGTCAACTTTATCTTCTCTACCCAACCAGAAAGACTTTCTAATCAGATCAGTTATAAATTTTTAGAGTTTTAATATTTCTTCAGAATCCTTTCATAACTAGACCATTAGCCATGAAGATTAATGATGCCGAAAGACTGCCAGACGGACCATACTCTTTGTAATGGTTTCCATTCTGTGAATTACTAAAAGATTTTTTTTTATTCATAGCTGTTTCAAAGAATTAAGTTTATTGTGATAAAATTTTTGATTTTAGACTTTGTTTTCTTCACTATGATAAAATAACATGCTTACTTAAAATGTAGATGGGTACCTCAACTTAAACTTGTCCCCAGCAAACTCCTTTTAAGTTTCATTTGTACAGTTTTGTGTATTTACAGACTGCGTACATACACTCATGTGCTATAGTGTGGTGTGAAGGTCGGAAGACAATTTTGGGGAGTAATTTCGCTCCTTCCACTATGTGGGCCCCAGCAATTGAACTCAGGTTGTCAGTCTTGACCACAAGTATCTTTGTCCATTGAGTCATTTTGCTAGCCTCCAAACCAAACTCTAACCTTATTCTAAGTTGCTCTTCTTTGTCTTCCCAATCATTTAATGATGTCGGGTGCTGAATAAAAGTACATTTGAATTTTCTTTTTCTCATCATCTCTCATTTAACATTAATTTATGAACAATATTATATTTATATTATCTGTAAAACATATAGACTACACCACCTATTTAGACTACTGTAAACTTTCCTAACCGTTTTCCCTAACTGTTTCCCACTGATATAGTCTAAGTATTTTCTCCCTCTACTCCCTAGCCTTCACTCATACATGAAAATCATAACTCTAAGATAATTTTATTAGGAATAGATATAATGCTTCCTAGTTGAGCTGTGCAAGGCCCTGGGTTCCATCTCCAGCAATGCAAAAACAAAATCAATCAATCAATCAATCAATCAATCAATCAAACAAACACATACACATACAAACAAACAAAAAGCTTCTTTTGGGAGCTTCCTAGGCCATGAGGATGAGGCTGTCATGAATAGGTCTAAGATCCAGAGACCTATTCCTTCCACTATAGAGGTGAATGGCTAGAATGGTATCCACAAACTAGGAAGAGGGTCCTCACTAGACACCAAATTTTCAGACATCATGGCAGTAGACCTCCTCGGCTCCAGAACTATGAGAGGCACATTTCTCTTGTTTGTACTCTGCTGAGTGATTGCTATTCTGTTCTGGCAATCTTAATAGACTAAGGGATTGAGTCCTTAGTTTTCTTAGCCAGGACCTTGCAGAATATTCCAAGGTGGTATTTTGAAGAAAACTCTTCCCTCCCTCAAGTGGCTGCTACAAACTTCCTAGTTGGACACAGCTGGAAAGCACAGGAAAAGAACTACTGGAGTAGTATTCACAGGCTACCCTACCCCCCTCAGTCTGAAGAGGGGAAGTGGGGAGAGAATGCATAGAGATGGGCAGTAAAAAGTACCCAGAGAACTCTATGTCCCCCTCAGTCTGTGATGAACAGTAGCAAGAGTGATGCTTTTAAAACATAAAGCAGATCCCACAATTTCTACACGTAGAACCCTCAAATGGTTTTACTTTGCAATTAGAATGAAAGACGTCATGGTCTAAGCATGTTCTACACAACCCTGGTCCTTTCCCTGATGGAACTTAAGAGACTGTCCAGCTTGGGCCCCTTCCAACTTTACACAAATGTAAGTACCAGGCACATAAAGCACGGTCCCCGCACAGTTCCATCTAGGCAAAGACACAGTTGTGACTAAGAGCACGTCTCTGTGGCCTCTTCTCTTTCTGCACACACCAGCTGCACTTGTTCCAGTTTTCTTTGTTCCTCAGGCAGGCAAAGCTTTTGATGCATTCCACTCTGAGATCCACACTGCTTGGGCTTTTCTGATCACTGAAGTTCCACTCCGTTCTCAACCACATGGAGAGCTCATCCCTAGCCCTCCTGACTAGAGTAGCCCAAGCAGTTACTACTCCACTATATCTGTGTGTCTGTCCAGCTATCCACTTAGCTGTCTAGTGATTTAGTAGTGCTAGAATTGAACCCAGAGCTTCTGCATGCTTACCAGATATTTTCCTGCTGAACTATACCCCTAGACGGCATTTTGATTTTAAGATAGAGCTTTCCTCCTAGTGTTGAGACTGAATCCAGGACCTCGTGCTTGTTAAAGAGCGTGCTCTGCCATGAAGTCATATCCCCAGACCCAAACAGCAGTTTTAAATAGGTCTTATTCTTTCAGAAATCCTCATCTATCAACATGTTAAATATAGGAAGGAATAAATTTTCAATCCTCACTCAGAAAGGCAAGGAGGATGGACATCAGAAGAGGGAGAAAACAGGGAGCAGGACAGGAGCCTACCACAGAGGGCCTCTGAAAGACTCTACCCTGCAGTGTATCAAAGCAGATGCTGAGACTCATAGCCAAACTTTGGGTAGTATGCAGGGAATCTTATGAAAGAAGGGGGAGATAGAAACACCTGGAGGGGACAGGAGCTCCACAAGGAGAGGAACAGAACCAAAAAATCTGGACACAGGGGTGTTTTCTGGGACTGATACTCCAACCAAGGATCATTCATGGAGATAACCTAGAACCCCTGCACAGATGTAGTCCATGGCAGCTCAGTGTCCAATTGGGTTCCCTAGTAATGGGAACAGGGGCTGTCCCTAACATAAAATGATTGGCCTGTTCTTTGATCACCTCCCCCTCAGGGGGGTGTGGCCTTACCAGCCCACAGAGGAAGACAATGCAGCCAGTCCTGATGAGACCTAATAGACTAGAATCAGATGGAAGGGGAGTAGGACCTCTCCTATCAGTGGACTGGGGGAGGGGTATAGGTGGAGCAGAGGGAGGGAGAGTAGGTTTGGGAGGGGAGGAGGGAGAGAGCTACAGGTGGGATATAAAATGAATAAACTGTAATTAATAAAAATAAAATATTATTAAAAATATTTTTTGAGGCACACAGGATCCTCTTCAGTTTGGATACATACTCCAACAATAAGCAAGAAGCTGTGTGTGAAAAGTTGTCAGATTCCAGGTATTCAGTACACACTTATTAAATGTGTCAATAAAGGGGAAACATAGGCTGGTTTTTGCTCTCCTTCACACTTAAGAAATATATGGTGAAAATAATTTGTCTTGCTTCAGCAATCTTGTAGTGTAAGCACTCACTTAAAATAAGGGGTAGGCATATCCCAGATGGGCCCTGATTAAGGTAATTCTCTACAATCCTGTGCAGAAGTATGTAACGGCACAAGGACAAAAAGAGTTGTAAGAAAGAATTTT